CGGCATTCTGAAAGAGCTACTAGAGTAATAGCTCTAAAACACAGTTACCAGTTTGTACTGTATAATTTTGTGGGAAAGGAGATTAGATTTTATTTTGTTCTGGTTTAGTGTTGAATTTAGCCAGGGTAGAATGTGACCTATCTAGTGAGTTATTTTCAGCTGTCTTAAACACTGTAATTTTCGATGTTGTAATTTGCAGATAGTTTGGATAATTGCTTGGTCTCCAAACCATCAGAATCCATTACATCACTGCAGGTATTTTTCTTGAATGGCATTGAAGAATCAATGCCCAATAACAAGCAAAGCAAAAGCATACATTAAAAATAAGGGATTATTTCGACAAGAACTACTACTCTGCTTCTTACTCTTATGAGCAATTGCATTGATGCTAGAAGCATCGTTGGAGTTTGGAATTTTATAATAGCAACAAATTTAAGGTGGATCCAAAAAGAAAGACGTTTTAAATGGCTGAAATGATATGAAAATGTAGGACAGTCTGAAACGTCTGGATCATCTGATCCAGAATATGTCTGGGTGTAACGGAGTACCCACATTGTCTCTGTCTGAATTATCTTGGATATGCACATATGGTCTATTCTTCATGGTCAAGGTTTTTTGAATGGTTTAGTCTACATTGCCTCCTCTGGCTTCCACTCAAATATGCCCTCCTGATATTTCCCTCTGAACTCTGAAATTGTAAAATAAACTACCCTTGGGTCATTAGTTCCTCAGTCCTGTCTGGATGAGAATGGATAAACAAGTAGCAATAGATAGCCTGCATTTCAGCAAGTAGCAACAAACTGAGGTGGGAAGTATACAACTCCACCTACACTCCTAACCAGACAGTTATCAGAGATACTCATACACTGGAGAAGGCAGCAGGCTGTAGAAATTACAATTACAGTGACCTTTCATTTTTTGAAGTTTAGTCATATAAAATCCATTTAACTTGTTTGATGGATTTTTGTCAGCATATCAAAGGAAAAACACCTGCTTATATGAGTCCATCAAGACACTACCTTTTAGTAACTTCTAGAAGCAGTTAGTTTCGTTTTCATGCTGTTAGTGAGTAAAGGTTAAATACAGCTTTCAGTAGAAAGGCTCCTGCTGGCTTGAGTTTGAGGTGGTTTCTCCTGTCCTGGATACAAAACTATATCATAGGGTTATCATCAGGAGAATCAGGGGAGGATATCAGCTTTATTATTTTTAGTGTAATTTCTTTCAATTTCTTCTTGAGTCCTGTGGAGAATGACAGCAAAACACTGCCTTAATGTATATGCCTACAAATGTTGCAAGTGACCATAAAATTTTCTTGTCTGTTTATAAACCCAATGCTTATTTCTAAGAGTGCCTATTATTACATATTACAAAGGCTGGTTTTACACCTGAATGGAGATATATAATCACTTCTCTATTTTAAATCTTTCTGCCTTTAGCTTATCATAGGGCAGTCTACTTTTATTAGGAAACAAAGGAATAACTGAGTCATTTTAATGCAATCCTCTGCATAGTTCATCCTCATACAATTCACTGACAATCAGTAGTCTCTGTTTCTCTGTGAGCTTCTAAAATTTTCTACAGGAAATGGCAGCTGTGATAAAACAAAGTTTGGAGTTTCCCCCCACCCTGATACTGAAAAAACAGTACTCTAGTGATTGTAAAGGCAGAGAAGATAGGTCAAAATTACATTAACATCACCCAGAGCTACCATCTTCCTCAGCTGGTTCTGGTCTCTGCCATGGAAAAGTACAAAGGGCTCACTGCATTGGAGACTTCTAAGATGTCCTTTCTTCATTGGTAGTATTATGTTTTAAGTGTATTTCTCCCAAGATCTCTGATCTCTGACCAACACACAAGTCTTTAAAAGAGGAGATAAAACCTACTTTTTTGCCCCAAAACTGACCATTTCATTTCTTTCTCTCAGTTTTAGCAGGAA